GCGCAGACTCAGTTCCTGGAGAAAGATGGCGACAGCCGAGAAGCAGAAACACGACGGGCGGGTGAAGATCGGCCACTATATCCTGGGGGACACGCTGGGGGTCGGCACCTTCGGCAAAGTGAAGGGTGAGTGCCCCGGGGCCAGTCGCGGCCCCCGCCGGGGACCCAGGCGACTTCCGCTTCTCGCACCTCTTCATCCTTCCCGCCCTGTGCGCTCCCCGTCTCCCGGGCTCGGCTGCCCGGGTCGCGGCTCCGGCGGGAGCCCGGCCCGAGGCCGCCGCGGGACTGCGGCGCGGCCCTCCCCGCGGGGTGGGGGTGGGGTGGGACCGGTCGTCATGGCGACGCGCCGCTGCCGCCTGAGGGGCCACCCGGGTGCGGCTAGAGGGGATGGGAAGGTGTGAACTTCTGCAGACCCGGTGTCGGGGGATGCGTGGCGCGCCCCTTAGTGGGGTGGCGGCGCCGGGGTCTCGTTCGGGAATCCCGGCGGGGCAGCCCCCAGTGGGCCGGGGCTGTCGGCTCGGTGCCAGCCCATCTCTCCCCTGGCAGCCCTCGGTATTGTCCGTGTTGCCTTCTTCTTGGGGTGGTTGATTTTCAAGTGTGAAATGTGTTCCCCCAAAATAGGTTGCTTTGGGGGGGTTGGTTACAGACTTTTTTTTTTTTTTTTAAGGCCACCTGGTAGGAAAGGAGCGCTCATTTTTTTCGGAGCAGCTATTGAACATCAACTAGTCTAATATTTGCGACACGTTTTATGTTTGAATGTAGGCTCCGTCCTTTAGTGTTTGCGGATTAGTTTTTGCAGTCTCTGTACCAGACTGGTAGAGCAGATGTCTCCACATAGGGTTTCTTAGTTCATGAGTACTGTTCGTATTCATGTCAATAAACAGTGACCGTGTGCATGATTTGAACTTTTTCAAAAAGAAAAGGAATTTCTCACTCGTGTTTCAGCACAGTATCCTGGAAATAAACACTTGTTCTGCAAGCCACTACTTATGCCACAGAAAGTTTAACTGCATACTTTTGGAGGCATAAATATTTTTTTCTTTAAGTGATTTGACTTTAACTTTATTATTTGATGTAGAAGGAAGTGTGGAACTGATAAATATAATGCATACGGGCTCTTCCTGGTGGCGAAACGGGTTAGGACTCAGCACTGCAAGCTATATGCAGTTGCTTCAATGCGAGTTCTATACCCTCCCCTCGGAGGTGACCACATGGCTGGCGACCTCTCCTGCCTCGCCTGCTGCTCTCCTTGGCAGTGGATTTCATCAATCCGTTTGTTCTTCTCCCCACTCTGTCTCTGGTGGGTCCTCTCACTGCCCTTGCCCCTCTGGCCTGTACCCTAGTTCTGTATGGATAAATAAATAAATCTTTCAAAAAATGAATGCATGCATTGGCTTTCTATAGTTAATAGACAATGACTTACATATATTAAACTCTTGGTAAATATTTGTTTTGAAAGAAAAAAAAATTGTGAAAGTCTATACAGTGAGTTTCCAATTGAGCCTTGCTCTCCCAGAACGAAACACTTTGACTTTATCTGGGGATGGAAGAGGAAAACCCTTCCTTCTCTTGTCCTTTCTGAGTCTTATAAATGGAAAATTGCTGTATGGTCCACATGGAAGCAACTGCCTAAACTTTCTCATGCAAATCAGCAAGGCCACCAGTGTAAGAAAGTATGAAGCAAATGCCAGAATAGGGTAATAACAGCCATTAGGGTGGGCCTACATGGGACCAGGAAGATGTTTCTGTGTCCTTGACTGTATTTTGGGTTATTTATTCTGAACTTTTGTTAGCCCTCCAAATTGTGTTTAGTTTACAGGTATTTGAAAGAAGTGCTCATTAATGTACCTCTTCCCCTCATTGAATAGATGCCCTGATGCCCTCACCCCTCCCAGAATTCTGCTCATCATTTTCCTAATATAGACTTGAGAACAGTCATGTCTCATCTTACATTCTGAGTGACTTTGGCACCACAGATAGGAAAGCAAGAGGGAATGTGCTATTTTCTAGATTTGATTTGTGATGTGATTATGACATGAATCTCTCCAGTGACTGCTGTTCCTTAAGCTTCACTCCTCCACAGATGCTCTTCTTTAAGTATCACACACTGTCAAAGAGAGCTAACTATATTTGAAATATTGAAAGACCAGTATTAACCAAAGCGCCATGGGTTTCATGAAGATGGTTAAATTTGTTCATAACCATATTAATATTGTTCAAAATCTTTACCCAGTACATTTCTAAAGTTGATGCTTTAATAGTTGGGGTACTTTTTGCCAGAAGTGAGAGAGACTCCAACTCAACTTGAACATCCTTCCTGTGGTTTGCTCCAGCGCAAAAGCCCAAGGTGGCCACCTTAACCTCATTAGGCTAGGTGGTCCCTTTGATTAGGGATGCCTTGTGCCAATTTGCTGAGGCTTGTGTTCCTAAGAAGGCACTAGTTCGGGGGTGGCATTGCTTAAAAGAATGTGGCCCACCTTTGAATGTGTTGTGATGGAGGCCATCGGCTCTTCATGTGCTTAGGTAGCGTGGGGAACAGGGTGCCTGTTTATACAGAAACCGTGTCAACGGTTAGGACAAAGGGGAGAACATGGTGATGTTAGCAACATACAATAGTTGTAAGAATTCTTATGAATAATAATAATGACCTTACGTTTCCATGGAGACAAGGTGTAGAGAGCTTTTAAAAGTTAGTTGTGCACGTTGATAAATTTAACATAGAAAATGTATCTCATGAAAGCAGTGATACTGATATGTAGAAACATTTCTATGTCTATAAAAACTTGGCTGGGTGCGGGAGGACTGAATTCACAGTAATGATTTTATTTTCTGTGGCAGAATGGATATGGCTACATTTTAAGGAGAAAGGTTTTGTGTTTTTGGGTTTTTTTGGCTAAGAAGTTGGTTTTTATCTGTGTGACTAACACAGGGGCAGCTCTTTTGCTGTCATGACTGCAGGATCCACCATTTGTCTAGGCGGCCTTCTGGATCACCCTGCAGCCATCTGGGATGAGCTGATTTTCAGCTTTCATATCCGCAACTCAACTGCATTAAACTTTGTAAAGCTCCTTTCTTGGAAATATGGATTTTCTGTTCACCAGGGAACTTGACCTTAGCCGTATGTTGGCCCTCAATGACATGCTTCTTGTTCTACAGCTTGGCGCAGATGGACATGATGACTTGGCCTGTGTGGACCCTGGTCAGGGGCCTGGGCCTTCCCAGAGGTACCCTGCATATCTGCATGGAGTTGTTATAACAGCAGGGCCAGCATGAGGGCAGACATAAAGGATCCTGGAAAGGCCTGTCTCCAAGGTCCCCTTAGAGCAACTCATACAAGCAGCAGGCCACGTGCACTACCAAGGAGGCTTCTGTTTGCAGCCATTGAACACCAGGCCCTCGGGGATGGAAGGGAAGCTTAAACAGAAAATCGGTTATCTTGAGATCGTGCTCAAAATTACTTAGATTATTTCTAGGCTATATTTTTCTTCTTTGGTTGTCAACATGTAGTTTTAATCCCCTTTGGACTCCACTCCATGTTATAAATGTAGATGAAGAAGGAATCATGTTACGTTGCAGTAAATGAAATGGCAATTTTCCCAGAGAAGACAGTTCCGTTAGTGAGATCAGTGATCTTCATCAAATGAGTTGTTTAACGTAGAACATTTTTATTAACATAGAACGGTTGTTATTCCTACATGAAACTCCAATTCAAGAAAATAGGTGTCTGAAGTCTGACCTCCTCCCAGATCCCATTCTGTCCCCTTCGTCCCCAGGGCTAACTAATCACTATCTTGAATGTGTAATGATGTAAAATCACAAAAATTATTAGTATCATTATTATTTGTGATTTTACATGTGAAAATAAGTATCAGCTTCAGTGAATCTCAAAAATATAAGAGTAGGCCACAAAAGCAAGTTGTTAGAAGAATATGTACCATCTGATGTTATTTATATATAAATGTAAGGACACAAAACCACTCATACATATCACTATTGGTATAAGTTGGAACCACCTCTATAGAGTCTGGTAGTATTTCAAATTAACCTAGCAATTCAATCTCTAGAACTGAGCCATTAAGTATGAAAGACAAGTTAGCTATTCATTACCATTTTTTGGAAGGGCTTTGTTGGAAGTACCCTTTTTAAATGGAAAAAAATTATAGTTATCCATATAGAGATATGCCTTGCAACTACTAAGAAGGAAAAAAGTAAGAGACATAATGTAATTTAGGAAACAATACCCAAGATAAATGTAAGAAGAAAAAATAAAGGGGCAGTAAAAATAGTGTAGAGGAATATGCTACCTTCATATGCAAAAAGCAGCAAATGTGTATCTAAGTGTAACTGCTTGCACTTAGGGAGAGGCTCTTTAAAGATACAGTGAATCTGTTACATTAGTCAGGAGAGGAAACTAAGTAGCAGGGTAACACATCACTCTATATCCTTTTGAAGTGTGCAGTTAGTATCAAAGATTCAAGAGAACTTACACAAATTGTAAAAATAAACATGCCAGACACCAGTACACAGTTAGTTGCCTCTGGGGAGAAACGGGTCTGGGCAGAGTCATGCCAGCCTTCTGTTGCAGATGCAATGTTTATTGCTTAGGCTGATGGTGGTGGGCATGGGTATCTGAATAGCCTTGTGGGATACCTGATGTGTGTGTTGCTACAAAAGGTAGCTTTTTCCAGTTTCTATTTGTAGTTTTTAAAGTTCCAGAATTATTCCCTAATCATTTAGCATTTAGTGAAGTGTTTTATTCCTTAGATTTTAGAGTGGGAATGAAATGGCTAAGTGATTAGAGTATCTTTCATATTTTCAGTAGATGTTTTTAGCTTTGTGGCCTCGCTTTCCTATTAAAATAATCTCTTTGATGTTAGGATTTTATTTCACTTTAGGGTTACATTTCTGACAAGAACATGTGATACAACATTCTACAGTTAGAGAGTTCCCTTTAGTTACACTAACAGTTTGCTAATTAATATTTAGTTGACTGAACTGCCGTTCTTGTGAGGGAGACATTGTCAATGCTGGTCATCTGCACATGGGTGACATGCAAGACTTCCATTTGTTCAGAAACACACCTGAGCAACACTGTAAGGCAGTGACAATCTTTGTTTTGTGTTTTGGAAAGGGGAAGATCTTTTAGTAATGCACATTCCTCACAAAATCCTTTTACTCCACTGATTGACATTTTGATTCCATTGATTGACAGCTGAATTGGCTGCACCTGAGTTTCGTCAGTAGAGAATATTTACCTCAATTTTGAAATGATTATCCAGGGCTTGAAATTTTACCAAGCCTCTTTTTCTCTCCTCTCGGTGGTTTTGATTGGATAGTTCTTCAGAAGGACTGCCCCAATTTGATTAATAGTTTTACTTACACTAATTACATAATCACTAGGAGTTGAGTAATTGCTATATCATAAGTTTATTGTGAGGCTTAAGTATGATAACATGTGTCTCCTAAGTTATAAGACATAGTTTCAAAGTTATGAGACTGTTGAAATTCTAACATTGAAATAGACTGGTAATTGGGTTCAAGGCAATATTTCTCTTTCCGTAAATCAGGAAAAACAACAAATTATCATTTGATGACCTTAAATTAGCAAAATTTTGCTGGGATGATAGTTTAGAGGGAGTGCCGCCTATTCTGAAAGGAACATGTTTTAGAGTCATCGTTGTTAAAACATTTGAAAACCTTAGCTGGAAAAACTTGTGTCTAATTAACACCAGGAAGTTCCAAACAAAATTTAACAGGTTTCTTTACTATGGGGCTTTTCAGAGTGTTAATATGTATAGTGAACTTCCAAATGGGAGACATATTCCTTTTTCTGAATGATCTGATTATGAAATCTTTTTCTGTGGAAATCCGGTGCAGTTCTTTTTCTTCCAGCCCTAGTGTCTTATATAAGATATTTTGGAAAATCTAATAATTTTAGTTTTATTATTTTTCTACTTCATAGAAAATTAGAATCTCCAAATTAGAACATTGGAGAGGGGGCTGTAAAGAGTTGACTCCTGGTGGTCTCTGAAGGATGAGACACAACTTCAAAAATAGAAAAACTATAGGAGCTGGACTGCAAAGCCCCACGAGCAAGAAGTCCTGTCTAAGGGCTGCTGCAGACATCTCTGTGAGGGCACAGCAGTAGCAGATGATTAGACAAGTTGAATATTTGCTTGGTTCTCAGTCATCATGTTCAGTCTTTTCCTTAACTCTTCTAGCTTTGAAGGCTTCTAGCATTCCTTCACTTGTGTTCCACTCAACTTCAGTGTTTGCTTCCACCTCCTCTTCAGTATGAACGTGTTCTTAGGGTTCTACTCTAAGGCTAGGATTTCACTTTGACAGCTTGACTGCATTTCCACATAAAATCACATTTTAAAATAACTGGTGTACATGAATTGAAGGGGAGAACACTATTAACCTACTACACTTGCCGCTAATTTTTGTTGTGATTTTAATTTTACATTTTTTGTTTCTATCATAATGCTTCGACTTTTGAATGACTTTCAAATTGATTTGAAAGGATGAATAAAATGTCTTCTTGGTATCTTCTATTGAAATTGATAAAATGTAGGTTTCCCATAGACTAGATTCATTTTCTGATGTGGGACAAGTATCATAGTAGCAGTATCTGGAACATTGGCACAGGTATACAATTAGTTTTTAAATGAAGGAGTAAATTTTAAAATCCTTACTAGTATGGGGAAACCGACTCCTATTCTTTTGAGAACTATGAGACTACATAAAGGATTTTTTGGTGTGTTTATCTCTTAGTATGTTTTATTAAAAATTTATTTATTACTATATTGTCATGTTCTTTTGAGGGTAACCTTTTTAAAAAATCCTCATACTTCCCTTACAATTTTTAGAAAAAACACGAGGTTTTGAGATAGGATGAGTTCAAGTTTTGGCTTTTCTAGTCTCTAGTTGTATAACCTGGGCAAGGTATTTCCTCTTCCTTCAGTTCCCTGAAGGAACTGAAGTGTTGGCTAGTGATACTAATCTTCCAGGGATGGCGAGAGTTAGAGACAGTAAAAATGATACTCATTTAACAAGTGAGTTATAGACCTTAATTAAATTATGTATTTATGAGTTTACTATACTTATATATTTAAAGTATTCATTTACAAAAATCTAACTTAAGCAAGAAACAAAATAAACTTTTTTTTTACAAAGCAAAATAAAAGGAAAACGAAAAACCCCAATTCTAATTGAAACCCAAGCCCGATGGCCCTGTTTTTTCCCTCTGAGCTTTGTGACCATACAGAGGTTTTGACAGTGTTCATTTAGGGGATGAAATCACTGGCCAAGGATTTGGTGATATGTGTATGTATATATACCTAGCAATAACCTGTTGAAAATTAACCAAAGTCAGGATATGAGGGTGAACTTTAGATTCTAGAATCTCAGGACTGGAGGTGATGGGTGGAGGATGGAGCAGGTGGATGAGATTGAAGTGTATAGGCTAGGAGCTAGATGCTTAGAAGTTGAGCTGTTATTTAGCACTTACTATGTGCCTAGATAAAGACATGCTGCAGCATCTCAGGTGGCTGTTGTTATTCATTGGTGGAATAATGTTTTACTCTGTGTTGCTCATGAGTTGAATTTCACTTGATTTTCTAATTCCTTGTCTGTCACCATTCAGCTGTTGCTAATTTTTTTGCTAATTATAAAAATTTATGTCGCATTTCTGCAGCAACCTGCTCCTGTGTAAATGATTTTAACTGCTTTGTTATAAAATTGGTCTTGTTCTTCTCTTATTATATAACTTCTTTACTTTCTTACCACTCTGAAATACTTCAGTAACTTTTTCTAAAACATTCACATGTTTCCCAAGTATGCATTTTTAATGTTTTTGTTTTATTCTCTTGTCCTCTGGTAGTCATGTTTGGTTGGCTTTTCTTACTTTACTTTAGTTATTTTCAGAGGCCAGGAAGAGCCAAAGACCCACGTCACCTCCAGTCAGTACTGCTTTTTCTGACTTTGTTACCTGGGTGCTTAATGCCTATAATGCCAGGTGAATGAGTTTGAGAAAATGCTTTCACTCTTCTATTCCAATTCCTTATTCGAATTTTGGATACACCTAAACTGTTTCTTAAAGTTAACTAAGGTTGAAATTGAGCAGAATCTGATAGGAGTGGAGACTGGTTGATTTGTTATGAATTGGAGTTCAGGTTCAAACGGATTCCAGTTTAAATCTTTCCAAATCTGCTGCTATTTAGTACTCTTGTCATTTCCCAGTGCACTTCCATTTGTGTAGTGAATGGGGTAAGATTCCCACTAAGCTGGAACTTGGAGATTTGGGGTATGATTGGGACAAATGACATCGGTACTACTTTATATATGTATAAACTAGGTCTCAGAAGCTACTTTCTGAATTGGAGTTTAATAGTAAATTTACTGCTCTTATGTACATCTGATTGATATTGGAGATTGGAGAAAGTCTTATCTGAAATTATAATGTACTTGATTTTCAAAATTCATTTCAGCTGTGATGATAGGCTTCCCTCCCCATACTATTTTAAATGAAGTATTTTTAAATTTTTTATAAATAATATTTTATTTTTACATCATTTTGTGCCTTTTTCCATCTCAGTTGTAATCCCCATGGGCTTCCCATCACCAGATCACCTGTGTGCCATCACCATAGTCCAGAGCAGTGCACTTCCCTCCACACCCATCCACATTTTTGATACCATCCCCCCTGTAAAATGTCTCTGCTATATAGTTGTTCACTATTATTATTATTTTCTCCCCTGGTTCTTTATACTCCTGCTGAGTGAAACTATCCAGTATTTTTCCTTTGCTTTCTGGCTTATTTCACTAAGCATGATTCCTTCCAGCTCCATCCATGTTGCTGCAAAAGTCATGTGTTTATCTTTTGATTGCTGAGTAATATTCCATAAAATTAAGTCTCAACGGAAGTACACTCTGAGTACACTGTTACTCTGCCATTTTCTGGACACACCTATAATTTCTCAGCCATAGTCAAACTATATAAATGGTAGTTGGAAAGAGTTGTGTTAGTGGTATGATGAAAGATCTGGACAAATGGAAGGTGAGTTTATATGGGCAAATAATCTCCCACTTCAGCACTCTTAAATATGTGAACATGCAGAGGTAAATCAGGCACAACTGAAAGGCACTGGAGTTCACTTGAGTAATTTTCCAGAAAACAGAGCATATTACGCTCAGGGTACTTTATGTTATTGGATATATCCAAATATTTTATTAATGAAGTCAGGCACTAATTTATTAAATTATTTCTCCTACAGTTGGCAAACATGAGTTGACTGGGCATAAAGTTGCTGTGAAGATACTTAATCGGCAGAAGATTCGGAGTCTTGATGTGGTAGGAAAAATCCGCAGAGAGATTCAGAACCTCAAGCTTTTCAGGCATCCTCATATAATTAAACTGTAAGCTCTGATTATATTAAATGTTGTCATTGATTTTTGTCATTATTTTTGTCGACCTATTAAGTTCTGATTATACTAAATATAGTCATTGATTTTCATGATTATTTTTGTTACAACCTCACAAGTGATAAGAATGACTGACATTTCTTCAGTCTGTTTCCAGAGGGATTTTAAGTTTCTTTTGTGCATGTATTTACTTAACCCTATTACCGTCACTTGAGCTTGTATTCGTGTTTTACCCTTTGCTTATGGCTGTTATCATTCTCTTTCTTGTCTTCTGGATTCATGCCCTTGTGATAATGTTCACTGCCACTATTGCTGTAGGAACCATGATTTTCTAATAAAATCTCTTTATCTCCAAATTTCCGGGTGATACCAGTTAGCCTCACTACAGGCAGTGCAGCAGAAAGCTTCACTGCTCTCCACCTATACTGCTTACATCTCTGGTTAAACAAATAACAAACAATAGAATCTCAGGAATTGGCTGTTGCTAAAGGGCAGTAATATTACCCTTGTTTTGTGTTGCCAAATGTAGGCTGCATGGATAGCTTATTTACTGCTCAACTTACTTTGCAGGCTAGAAATTAAAACTGCGTAGGTTTTTGTACTGAACTGGCTACTCAAAATTTATTTTTCTCTCAGCTTTTCTCCTTGTGTGAAAGTGCCGTGGTTTAAACATCATCCAGTTGCTCATAATCCCTAAATATACATCTAGTGCTTTGAAACCTCTTCCCTGAATTTCAGACTCATGTGTCCACTGCCTACTCGATGTCCAATCAGTTGTCACCTGCTCAGACCTACTTTTCCCACAGTTTTCATCATCTCTGTTAATGTCCAGTTTCTCAGGGAAGACACTTAGGAACCATCCTTCAGCTTCCCTGTTTCCCTCTCTTGCTACCATCCATCCCATCCTTTGCTTTAAGATTGATGTAGGGCGACTTTCTCCGTTCCTTCATTGCTGTCAGCCTAGTGTGAGCGCCCTCATCTCGCTCGTGGACTGCTGCAGAAGCCTCCTGCTTGCATCTTTCCCATCCACAGTCAGCTCTTCACATTGCTGCCATGAATTAAAATGATCCTTTTAGTGGACCAAATCACATGGCTTCTTGGCTGAAATTTTCAAAGCTTCTCGCTTCCATAGAGTAAAAGCTAAAGCCTCATCCTGACTTGTAAAGTTCTTTGCCCTCTATCCTCCACCCCACATCCTGTTTCCCTCTTCCAGCTCACTCTGTTCCAGCTTCTCGCCATTGTTCCAACATGCCAGGCAGTCTTTTCCGTGGGGGCATTTGTACAGCTGTCCCCCTGCCTGGTTCACTTTCTTTCTAGATAATGGCATAGTTTGCTCCCTTACTTCCTTTAGGCTCTGCTCAAATGTTGCTTTATCAGAGAGGCCTTCCTTAAACATTCTGTAAAAAAAAATTCCCCTTCGTTTGCTTTATTTTTTCTTCATAGCATGTTCCACCACCCAAGTTGCTTATTTATTTAGTGTCTGTTTCTGGCTCCTGGAATATAAACTTCACGAGGGCAGAGAATTTGTTTTCTTCCCTTTAGCTTTCCCAGCATCTAGCACAGTGCCTGGTATACTGTAGGTGCTAAGCAAATATTTACTGAATGAATATACATGTTTTCATACTGGTAGATAATGTTTTCTCTCACCAGGTACCAGGTCATCAGTACACCATCTGATATTTTCATGGTGATGGAATATGTCTCAGGAGGAGAGCTATTTGATTATATCTGTAAAAATGGAAGGGTAAGCAGTTCTGATTTAATCCTGTGTACATTTGTGACCTCCCTATCCCTTACTAGCATCAACATTAGAAGTTTTGTTAGCAGGTATATTTAAATGACCAGTTTCCTTAGTATATTTGTCTAGACTCATAGACTACCGAGAGCTAGAAAGGACCTTAAAGATGATCTCCTTAGTCTACTTACACAGATGTGGAAACTGAGACTCATAGTTTTTATATTTGTTCAGTATCACAAGATTTATTAATAACAGAATAGTCCTTAAGTCATGAGCATTCAGATACTTTTAATATGTATCAAAGTATATATTTAATCTTTATAAACTATTAAATACTTAAAGATCTAGGCCTTGCTAGTAAATCCTAGCATTTAAATTGCATTCATTTTTTGGTTTCAGGAATCTGGTGTATCTGGAGTAGAAAAAACAGACTCCATGAGGACATAGGAATTAGACTTGGAGAATTTAGTTTTGGAAGGAACTTCAGAAGGCATTTGAAATAGTCCCTTAAGTAATAGATACAAAAACTGAACACAGTCCCTGCCCATATTTCCCATAGAGGCCTCACATTCACGTATGCCAAATCTTTTTTCTGGAAGAGCCATAGTTAGTCCTGAGAAATCAAATTAATTCCCCCCCCATCTGACGATCTTTGTATCATTCTTTTCATTCTTTTATTTATTCTTAAATCATGTCTGTGTACTTCATCAAAACCAAGCTCATTAACCAAGTAGTTTTGATTTTATTATTTCTTTAACAGTCTTCATTTGATTCCAGGTATTTCTCTCATCTACTCACTGTATAAACCCCACCACCCCACTCCCTCACTAATATGTCCTACTGTCTAGAAAGATGGAAGCAGGCTTAGTTGAATTGGTGGCTTGTTTTCTTATCTTTTGTCTTTTTTGGTCATATTGCTTTACATTATGGAAATTTTCAATTTTTATCTGTTGAATATTAAAGTTCCACCTGTTTAATTTTTATTTCAAGGACTGCTTTTTTGTTTTGTGAAATTTGCTATTCTTTAAATATCTAATTTTTGGCCTTCCCTGGTGGCTCAATGGGTTAAGGTGTGGCTACAGCCACTTCAGTGCGAGTTTAATCCCCAGCCCCTGAGATGATCCACATGGCACAGCAGACTTCCTGTCTCGCCTGCTGTTCCCCTCAGCAGTGTACTTCATCTGTCTGCCTGTTCTGCTCCTCACTCTGTTTCTGGTGAATCCTCTCACTGCCCCAGCACCTCTGGCCTGTACCCCAGTTCTGTATGCATAAATAAATAAATCTTTTTTAAAAAATAGCCAAATATTTACTCTACAGATCTAACAAACTTATCTGTCTAAAGATAACAATTTAAAAAATTATCTTCTGTTCTCTGCATTATTTCTATGCTTTCTACACTTCTCTCCGGATTTTTTTTTCTTCCGTGTTTATTTTATACTGGTCTTTTATCTTTTGTGCATGGCCTGTACTCTGATGTCTGGTGATTCTTGATTACTCACCCATATTTGAGAGTGAGGTACCAAATGCCAAGCTCTTATGGGTAGAACTGGGTCTTCCCATAGGTTGTATTTTTACTAGAATTTATCAATGTCAATAATTACATTATTTTCCTGGATCAGACAGTTGCCTTAGAAAAAAAAAAACTTCCTACTTCCTTGAGATATTAGTTTAGCTGTGAGCACTCTGGGAGCCAAAGTGGAAAGAGAACTACAAGTCCTGGCTAGTTAGTACGTTATCTTTATCATCAGTGTTTTCCTTCTGAAGCCTCATCCTGCTTTGTTCTTCAGAACAGAACTGGTTTAACTTTACTACAGAGTAAACCGCAGGCCTTAGTTTCCAGAAGTGATCAGTTTACAATTTATTTCACTCAGTTGTCCTATCTTCAGCCTACTTCTCACTTTAACCTTCATGGATTTCCAATGCTTCCAGTTCCTAAGCCTTCCCGGGGTCTGTGTGCAGATGTTGATCATTGGTTTCCACCCCTACCGGCTTTGATTTGAGTCCCTGGTCAGCTAAGTCTTTATTATTTTTCATCCATTCTTTATGTTGGTGATGACGCTCGATTATTGCTGTGTCTTCTCTTGCTCTTTTCATCTTTGTATGCTAATGTTATTTTAGGATGGATACTACAGGTTCACTCTGCCTATGTTTCTGTTTAACAGGAAGTATGCACTGAGTTTTCTAATCTTCCTTTGTAACTTCTCCTTAGCTCTGTGTGTTGTGTTTAATTAAATTACTATAAATATCATTTTTGTAGCTCATCTAGCTAAATATCTTATATTTTTAGTAAGTTTTCTTCTCTTTCACATTTAGCCCATACATTCTTTTCTCTTCTGTAAAGTTGTATTGAAAACTTACCTTTATTTCTTCTGGATATGAAGATGTTAACTTGTTAACATGTTAGTATTTTTCTAGAATAAGAGCATCTCATAGTACTTAGGTAGTCTTAATTTTGCTTTCAAAAGAAATTTCCTGTTCATCTTTCCTCCCGGGATAATTCATGTCAATTAAAGTTTAGGTGCCTGGTTTTAGAATGTTAATTTGTGAACTGTGTTAGTAATTACATATTAGAGTTCTTTGCTTAGAGGATTAATCATGTTTGTTGTTGTTGTTGTTTTTAATTAAACATGACTTGGGACCAGCATGTCCAAATAATGGTTACTGCTTTTGGAGAAAGCATCAATGGAAAGAGAAATTTAAAAACATTTAAATGTAGTTGCAGTATAAGGTGTAATTCTTTTCAGTAGGAAAGTAAAGACAACTTTTTATAGTTTGTAAAACTAAGGATTCTTGTTAAAAAATCTTTCATTTCAGAATGTATAACAACATGATTGCATGCTAATTCATTGACATTGCTTAAAAATGTTATTTCCTCTATAGGCTAATATAGTATCCCCACCCCAACATAATTGTGTGTGCCCTTATCCTGCTTTGTTTTTCTTCAAAGTACTGTGATTCCTTCATGTTTTATTATATATTTGCATCATCCAGATTAGAGCCATTTTTATTTTGCTATCCATGATTATCTAAAACAGTACATGACACATTGAAGGTGTTTAATGAACATTTATTTGTTCATTGAAGGGGTGAGTAATCATTTCCAACATAAGGGAGACAGGCCTTGTTTAGGTAGGAACTGAAACTAAAGTAACTCATGAGCACAAGGCAGTTATTATAGTCACAACAGGGATAATGTTAAAAATTGACAACTAATTTGGGTTCCAAGCTCTTATTAGCATTTCTATTTTTTTTTTTTTTTTGTTATTGTTGTTCCATCTTGCTCCTTCCTACTTCAAAAGTATCTCATGGATGGGATTAATTCAGTAGTTTTCACATACTTGGAAAATTTTATGGGTTGCAGAATTACAGGTAGAACAATTTATTTTGAAAGAATTTAGATGGCTCTCTATTTTTCTTTAGCTGGACGAAAAGGAAAGTCGACGTCTGTTCCAGCAGATCCTTTCTGGTGTGGATTATTGTCACAGACATATGGTGGTCCATAGAGATTTGAAACCTGAAAATGTCCTGCTTGATGCACACATGAATGCAAAGATAGCTGATTTTGGTAAGGTTTTCATTTCATGTTTAGTATGTTTAGCACCAGTAGCATTCTTCTACTTTTATGCAATAGATTACATATCTTGAAGTCAAATATTCTCACCATCGTTTATGAGAGTACGGAAAAAAGGTCAGAGACTTGCTTTTCTTAGCTTTATGTCTTTCACATGAGTTTTATGACAGTACACAAGTGTAGGCAAGGAGAGAAAGTGGGATGGAGTTAGTGAAACTTTGAAAATTAGAAGGTAAACTGAACAAAAGTTATTTAAAGAAATTTTTCAAATGATAGAAAAAATTTTAGCTTGATGAACTTAAAATGAATTTGTTTTTTCTGTTATGTACTGTATAAAATTATAATTGATATTAATCCTAATAGAAGAAGTGAATTTCTTCAATTTTTTCACTTAGAGCTTCCGAGGGGTTTCTTACAAATTATACTTTCAGTTTTGAATATGTTTTAACTAGCTGTTTTTTTTTCTTTTCTTTTCTTTAACTGATTATTTTGATTTATTCTCCAGTTGTTATTGCTTGGTTGTCATGACTTTTTTTTAAAATAATAAAATAATTTGTCATGACTATTTTTATTTGGTGCATTTTTGAGGAGGCAGAGGTTTCTTTTTGGAGCACCACTAAGAGGGAACTTGGATAGTCACATTTTTGGCTTTTTCTTATTTTTTTTTTAAGAAAGTGGGGTTAATAGAAACTTTGAATTTTAACTCTTCATCTGTTCCACTTCATCAGTTTTTTCCCTAGTAATTTCTGTATTAATGAAACTTAAACATACTAAGTTTATTTCAGTAGATAAAATAAACAGCTTTAATATATGCTCATTAAGCTCAGAAGAGCTAATATATTTGTTGGGACAGTGGCAAATTTTAGAGTATACTGGTAAAATTTGGGGGGAACAGTAAAGGCTATAGAATTTTGTTGAAGCAAAGAGCAAAATGATTTCTCATTTTAATGCAAACCTAGTTTTTAGTGTTAAGATTATTGTTTTTACTTTTGTCTATGGGAAATCTGAATACTTGACTTTGTGCATCTTCAGGTCTTTCAAACATGATGTCAGATGGTGAATTTTTAAGAACAAGTTGTGGCTCACCCAACTATGCTGCACCGGAAGTCATTTCTGGAAGGTAATATTTGGTATCTCCCCTTTCCACAAAATGCGTAATTGTGTCTTTGTCCTAGATTTTATTTATTTACTTATTTCTAGTGAAAGGAAAGACAATTTAGGCTTTTTCTTTTCCTGTCCAAAATGGTGATTTAAGAATCACGCATAAGTGAATAAGGATATTTCCACTGATAGAGGAGAATGTTGGCATGCATTTCACGATACTTGAAGATTTGAAATGAATGAGTTTTAAAGGCGTGGAAGGCTGCTCCAAGACCGCCCGCCTGTGCTAGTGTGGGCGTCTCTTTCAAGACCTGTCCCTCTCACCTGCAGCTCTCTCCTGCCTATGTCTAGCGTCTGTTTCTCTTTAGCCTTCTTCTTTCATCTTTCTCCTAATAAACCTATCCTTCTGAACAAATAAATATAAAAAGTAAATAAAGGTAGGTAAGACATTAGTAAACCTGAATAATACAGAAATATCTAGTAGTCAGAAATAAATTACTATCTACTTAGATTAAGAATTAAAAGTAGGGCCTTCCCTGGTGGTGCCACAGGTGAGGACGCAGCACTGCAAGCTGGCGGCAGCCGTGGCTGTGTGAGTTTGATCCCCAGCCCTGGAGGTGACCCACATGGTGCAGCAGACCTCTCCTGACCTGCCTGCTGCTCCCCTCAGCAGTGTACTTCGCCAGTCGGCCTGTTCTTGTCCCCACTCTGACTCTGGTGAAGCCTCCCATGGCCCTTGCCCTCTGGCCTGTACCCCAGTTCTGTATGCATGAATTAAATAAACAAACAAATAAATAAATCTTTAAAAAAATGAATAAAAGTGTAACATATAGCTTCAGTTTTTCAAATAGCTAGGTTTGAGTTAGTGTTTTTAGAGAAAATGTTTTTTTGAAAAATTAGATGGGAATATTGATAAATTCTGATTTCATTTGTTTGAATTTTATTCTTTTAATTTTTAAATTTTCTAGAGAAGACAATAGTGTAAGAATTCTAATCACTTACTTTATTATCAGTAGATGAATTGAGAATGTGACCATCTCTGTACAGTACAGCGTTCAAGTAGTTTGGATAACAGGAAAAAAATTGTTTTTAAAGATTTATTTATGCATACAAGAGCTAGGGTACAGGCCAGAGATATAGAGTGCGAGGTGGTGAGAGGATTCACCAGAGATAAGAGTGGGGAGCAGAATAGGTAGACTCACAAAAATATACTGCTGAGGGGAGCAGCAAGCATGGCAGGAAAGATATGTTGCACTATGTGGGTCAGCTCCCTGGCTGGGGATCACACTCCTGGTGCAGTGGCTGCTGATAGCTTCATGGTGCTATAGTTTGCACCACCAGGGAGGGCCAAAAAAATTTAATGTGTTTAAGAGCACTTTTTCTTTTTTTTAAGAATGTATTTAATTTATTTATGCATATAAGAAATGGGGCATAGGCCAGGAGTGAGAGCATTCACAGAGAAACAGTGGGGAGCAGAACAGGCAGATTTATTGGCAGACATTGATAAGGGGAGCAGTGGGTGATACAGGAGAGGTGTTCTGTGTAATATGTGGGTCAGCTCCCTGGCTGTGGATCAAACCCCAGCCACAGAGGTGATAGCATTGAGACTCAACCTCTGTTGCCACCAAGCTGTCCCCCCAAAAAGATACTTTTCCTTCACTCTATTGCTAAAGTTGAAGACAGAAAGTTTAAATTGGTACACCTTCTTTTAATAATAAATTCTCAGTAATGATTTAAATTAAGTCACTTTCTTATTTGAATGTTTCATATCTCAATTCATAATATAGAAGTACGTAGATTGTGGTGTTTTATTTTTATTTTCCTGCTTGCCTAGTCTTCCCAGAGAAATTGCATTTCGGCCTGGCCTGGGTGAATAGATTTTTCAAAATAGTATCTGTTGACCAGTTCAGTTGTTTATTTGACCAATTTAAAAAAATCATTTTCTGAAGTCAGACTTTGTATAGGTCATCTTACGGTCTGCAGCTAGCTAATTAAATCTGTTGACTATATTGTATTGTAAATAGTGGTTTAGTCTGCTCTGAGTCATGACGTGACTCCGTCCCCTCATCCCCTTGCCCCTTGGCAGGAATTTTGGGGCTTCTGGAAGAGTCCATTTTGAATCCATTGATAAAGAACATTTTCTTTTGATGAAAGATCATTAATACTCATTTTAACCAGACAATAGTTTTACATTCAGTGATGGCACATTTGTTCAAGATTTGGCCTTATTAGTTGGATTTTGTTAAGACCACAGAAAGGTAGTTTGATCATAAAAAGGTAGTTATTAGCAATAACTAACTTAATAAAATACTCAACATTCATTTCAAAGATAATACTGGCAGAACCAGAAAATACTATTGGTGGAATCAAATATTTATAGAAAAATATTTTGATTAATAATTCTTTATGAAATGTCTGTATAAAGTCTTTGATTAATTGATTGACTCTTAAGATCATTGATCATTGGTTAATCTAATTGGTATTTCCTCTTACAGATTGTATGCAGGCCCAGAGGTTGACATATGGAGCAGTGGGGTTATTCTGTATGCTTTATTATGTGGAACCCTCCCATTTGATGATGATCATGTGCCAACTCTTTTTAAGAAGATATGTGATGGGATCTTTTATACCCCTCAGTACTTAAATCCTTCTGTGATTAGCCTTTTAAAACATATGCTGCAGGTGGATCCCATGAAGAGGGCCACAATCAAAGATATCAGGTAATAAAGCCATGGGGAGAGCATCAGATCTCAGTCTTAATAATATAAGTTGTTGTAGGACAGTATGCATAATGTGTTTCTTTTTTCTGATATTTAAAAAATCCACAGTGAATAGACACTCACTTTATTATTATTATTTAAAGATTTATTTATGCTTACAGAACTGGGGTACAGGCCAGAGGTGTGGTAGGTGAGAGGCTTCACCAGAAACAGAGTGGGGAATAGAACAGGTAGGTGGACCAAGTACACCATTGAGGGGAGCAGCAGGCGGGTCAGGAGAGGTCTGCTGCACTATGTCGGTCACCTCCCTGACTGGGTATTGAACTTGTGCTTAAGTAGCTTCAACTAGCTTCAACCCACTGCACCACCAGGGAGGGCCCTAATTTATGTTTTTTTTTTTTCCTAATTTATATTTTAAAATATCTGAAAGATGCTTTTTCTTGGTCATCTGTCTCTTCCCATTTAAATATAATATAGTGACAACTGAGAAGACTTAGAAAACACTAAAAAATAAATAATGGTTACCCAGAAGATAATCACCCAGGAGACAATCATTGTTTTGGGTATTTTCCTTGATTTTTTTTTTTTTTTAAGTTTTACTGTAGTTTTGACACAGCTCAGATCAAATATACCCTTTTTTATATGATGCTATAGGAAATTGGTATAGGAAATCATGCAGAGCGTGGCCTTTCAAATCTCTTTTGAAAAGGGGTGAAGTCCTGACTCTGTTACTTACTGTTTGTAATCTTGAGAAGTTTCTTAATCTATTTGAGCTTAGTTCCTTCATTTAAAGTAAAGGGAGTGCCGTCCTAGTGGCCCAAGTGTTAAATTCTCAGCTTTATCAAACTATCACCAGCCACTGCTACATGAGTTAGATCCCCAGCCATGGAGCTGACTCATGGTGCAGCAGATCCCTCCTGTCTCGCCTGCTGCTCCTCTCAGCAGTGTATCCCAGTCAGTCCACCTGTTCTGCTTTCAACTCTATCTCTGGTGGATCCTCTCACCCCCCTCTCTGGCCTATACCACAGTTGTGGTATGCATAAATAAAAATAAATCTTTGAAAGAAAAAAATGTAAAGGCATTCATAGCCTAAATCCCTGAAACAGTTACTTTCAGTCTGCTCTCTACTTAAAGTCCTATCACTAACCCTGCCATTTCCTCTCAGGGAACATGAATGGTTTAAACAGGACCTTCCAAAATATCTTTTTCCTGAGGACCCATCATACAGTTCAACCATGATTGATGACGAAGCCTTAAAAGAAGTATGTGAAAAATTTGAATGCTCTGAAGAGGAAGTTCTTAGCTGCCTTTATAACAGAAATCACCAGGACCCTCTAGCAGTTGCCTACCATCTCATAATAGATAACAGGAGAATAATGAATGAAGCAAAAGATTTTTATTTGGCGACAAGCCCACCTGATTCTTTTCTCGACGATCACAGTTTGACTCGGCCCCATCCTGAAAGAGTACCATTCTTGGTTGCTGAAACACCAAGGGCTCGCCATACCCTTGATGAATTGAATCCACAGAAATCCAAACACCAAGGTGTAAGGAAAGCAAAATGGCATTTGGGAATTAGAAGTCAAAGTCGACCAAATGATATCATGGCAGAAGTTTGCAGAGCAATTAAACAGCTGGATTATGAATGGAAGGTAAGACAGAAAGAGCATTCTGATTATTAGCACATTTGTTAAACCTGTAGTCTATAAAGAGTTTTATAGAAGTATTGTTTTTCACTTTGTTTTTGTCTGTACTACTAGGTTGTAAACCCGTATTATCTGCGTGTTCGAAGGAAGAATCCTGTGACAAGTACATACTCCAAAATGAGTCTACAGTTGTACCAAGTGGATAGTAGAACATACTTGCTGGATTTCCGTAGTATTGATGGTATGTACATTAGACAGAACAACATATGTGATGAGTTAGGTTTTTTAACTTATTTGGTGTATCTTTTTATTCTTACAGTGCACTTTCCTTTTTAATTTATGCTAAAATCTTTAAAGCTAGATGCAACTAATCATTCTTCTGCTGTGGCTCTGGTTTTGTTTTTGTTTGGGTATCATTCATTTTATAAGACAAATTGTTTTATTTAGGAAGAGATGTTGGCTTTTTGTAAGTTTTTTATTGTTAAAATAATTTTTCATATCTGATGTTTAATAATATTTTAATTATTTCATTTAAGAAATAGAAGAGTTATTTGCTTTTAGAGTTGAGAGATGAGGCATTGTAAATAGATTTGCATAGTAGCACATAGAACATGCAGTTTTTGTTGAATAAGGTTTATTTCAGGGCACTGAGAAATATTATACAGTTTAAGGACTCTAGGTTATTTTTATCATATGAATCAGTCTTTCCCTCCCAGCCTAATATTAGAGAAAGATATGCATCTTTTATGATTTTGTGAGAATCATATGATTCCAATTGAATACCTTTCAACAAAGTACTCTTAAATAAGGTCACTTTCATATGGAATACATTGTATAAGGAGGTCTGGGACTAAGGCATGTGTAGTTCAAGATATCTATGGTAATTGGTTGCAAGTGATGTTGTCAGTCTTAAACTAGAATTTTGTACATTTCTATTTACCCATAATTATAAATAACCACAGACCTTGCGAGCAAAGAATGACAATATTTAACATTTTAAGTCAGGTATTTTAATTAGTCATCAAAATAGTGACCGTACTTTAAGTGCCTCCTTGAATTTTATTAAAGAACCATTGGAATTACGTTGAATATTGTTTTACTGTTTTCATAGTTTAAACATGAAAATCTATACTAGGAAAAAATTTTCTGATTACAGTTATGTGTAATTTGCCAAAAGATCTTCTTAACTATTTAAATTTGCTTAGGCTGAAGTAAGCTAAATTTGTTGTCATTTTGTTTAGAAAGGAAAAAGTAGCTTATCTGCTAAGATATGTGTGAACAGATAACAGGCTTTGGTAAATGGTGCAATATCCCTAGCATGCTTTGAAGTTTACACGAATTCAGGTTTCCTGTGTGCACATGTCCTTAAACATTATCGATCTAGATAAAACCCTGTGGACACAATTGACTCTTATTTGAATTCAATGTTCTCTTTCTCCTTCTCAGCAATATAAAGAGGTAGAGCTGTATATTCAAATGTCCTGTCACAGACGTTAGTTAAGTACAAGTTTATATAGCCATTTGTCATTGGCTAAGTCAATTGAGTTAAGCTATGTTGTCACTTTTAATGTTGTATGGAGTTGCTATTTATGAGCTTCAACGATGATTTTTTTACTCTATTTTTAGAAATACAAAGATAGTGTCTACATAGTATCAGAAAGACAAGTTTGATCTGTGTTATGCCGGACAAACCTGTTTGCTTATATTTATGTCATCATGATATTTATCTGCTGCCTTACATACTATAATTGAATGGGACCTTCTTTTTATTATATTTGGAGCAAATTCACAACCTTGAGTTTATTAGCAACTGGCTTAACATCTGAGTGACTTGTTTTGATTGTTTCCAACTTTAGTTTTCCCTTGAGTTTTGTTCAATGGAATTGTTGCTGTTTAGTGAGATCTTAAATATGAAGAGAGAGTGGGAGAGTGAAAAGCATTGAGATGAGTTAAGAGACTTGTACTCTGGATTTACCTATGTTTGTATATTACCTATGGCAAGTCACAACTTTTTTGGGTATAAGTTTTTTCATCAACAAAGTGGAGATAATTTCTAAGAGATTTTCTAAATTTTAGGTGTTTTAATTTAGAGGGATTCATTTTATTGCTAGGAAATATGTTTATTAAGCCCCAGGTTATTAACTTAGGGGCCTCTTCATTTTGGGTTGCGAAAATGATGAGTAGCTACATACTTTACCTACTTTTGATTCACTCTCAGGATATGCTGTGTAAAGGGCAACTGGTTTGACACTGGCTTTGTCTTAGAAGGTGTTCAAAGTAAATATTCTCGTGATAGAGAACAGTGAACTCAAGTGAATAAACAAATTAAATCCTAGTAAACACCTTTAGGAGATTTCATGGATTATAATAAACTGAAGTTCTTTTTACCCAGATGAAATTACTGAAGCCAAATCAGGAACTGCTACTCCACAGAGATCGGGATCAGTTAGCAACTATCGATCTTGCCAAAGGAATGATTCAGATGCTGAGGCACAAGGAAAATCCTCAGAAGTTTCTCTTACCTCATCTGTGACCTCACTTGACTCTTCTCCTGTTGACTTAGCTCCAAGACCTGGAAGTCACACAATAGAATTTTTTGAGATGTGTGCAAATCTAATTAAAATTCTTGCACAGTAAACCTAAAACTCTGCTTATTTCTTTGATAGCAATAAGCATGCATTATAAATCATAGCCAAATACTTCCATTTATAATCAAGTCACATACAATTATAGCCGAGGATTGGCCTTTTGGTATGCAGTTTGCACAGGAATTGAAACATGATTAATAGGTAAAAGCCTAATGTGCAAAAATGAATTGAGATAATTTTGTTGTTCATTGTTCTGTAGGCCTATAGCATAATATAATATACACAATGAATTGTTGGTCTCTCAGGCTCACTTGATTTTTGGCTATTTTATATTTAGTGTACACAGGGCTTTGTAGAAATACTAATTTACCATAAAGGCCTTCACATATATTACCTGTTGATGTGTTATGTTATTTGCTTCATAAATTCATTCAATAAATATTTGCCTAGAACCCCTAGAACCTTTAGAGGTGATTTTGTTTTCTGGGCTCCTTAACTTCCTAAATAGCAAGTATCTTCCACAATGGTTACAGTCTGGGTGACTCTTCCATTTCCCATCCTTTAATATTCTCAGTATATAGTAAATCACCTCAAAGGCAAAGGTATTCAATTCAATTGAAGGTTTTCTTAAACTTGGTTAAATCTAAAAATAGCACTTACATATTCAGATACTCTAGGCACTAAGTTTAATCTTACAGTTTGTTCCACAATATTTTGTACATAAATCGCTCTTTGTCACAAGAGCTGAGTTGCATATATTGTAAATAAATCATGTTGTTTTTGCCAATCTCACAAATTCCTCTGTTCCTCATGTCAGTATTGAATGTATGCAAAAATTTCTGGTCATTTAAACTGTTTCAATGGATAAAAAGACCATCTCTTGCAAACTGTTTAAATGGTGATGGGACTTTTTCTTCAAAGTTTTATTATGAAGGTTTTTAAAACAGAAAAGTTGAAAAGCTAGGATGATCACATGTGTCTCTACCATTAAGATTCAAACCTCATTAACATTTGCCATATTTGCTTTATATATTTATACAGATATAGCTACACACACTAGTGTGTGTATATTTGCTGTTTACCCCATGAAATATTAGAATGTTACAGACATACTCATCACCAGTCAACACTTCCTAAAAACCTCCTAAACATCTCCCAAAAATAATGACATTTCCCTAAATACCACCATAAAACCAGTAATCCTAATGCCATCTAATCATGGACATTTGGATGTCCCTACCTGTCCTTCAGATTTCTTTATAGCTGGTTATTTCAAACCAGGATCCAATTGAAATTTACATGTCATGCCATTGTTACTTGGATAAAGTATGGAATCAATCGGTTCTTCTAAATGGTCATATTTTGGGCTTTAATTACTTTTTTAAAAGTAGCACTATGGCAACTGCCTAGATATGCTTAATCTTCCTAAGAGCTTTGATTTATGTTTCCTTTTTCTTACTCTTAGTAAGAGTATAGTAGATAATAAGTGAAAATTTAAAGTCTCCTTAGATAAAATTGGCACCATGAGTAAGCTAATAAAATATGTTATTACCCATAATTTCCTGTATTATTTTAATGTGAAGAAATTGATTTTCTTTATGATAATCATTTCCCACTGCAACAGAACTGTTTTCTCCTATCATTTAAAAATGTTTGTATTGTCGCACTGTTGTAGCGAACGCAGTGAGCACCTATGCAACCAGACAGTAAGTACTCAGCCATCACAACATCTTAGGGTTAGTAGAAATCACTCCAGTACTCCTAGAAACAAGTACTGAATTCGGAAGAAAAATCTTGCTTCTTTTTTGTCCAGGACTTATTCTATTCACCTTAGAATCTGAAAGCTGTACACAACAATAGGAGTTGGATTTAAATATAAGTTTAAAACTATCGAATTTTATTATCACTGTTTTGGGGATATTGATTTCACTTAGGCTTTCCAAATGCAGCATTATGTTCCTGACGTTAAGAACAGAAGACTGTATTTTTAAAGTTACAGATTTGTACATAGAACTAAGACATCTTTGTTATGTCTATACAGCTGTTGTGGGAGGGGGCAAATAAAAGGAGGAACCGATTAAATAGGACCTTCGAAAAATTGTTAATTTTGTAAACTTTGCTTCTTTTTTAAGTTATTGTGATTCCTTTTAGTTACTGAGTTTTATTTTGAAGATATTTAAATATTGCACTTGTACAAATAGTATGACCAATGCACAGGCTGTTGCAGTAAATTCTTTTTTAAGCTGGGATATTTGAAACGACAACTTTTGGTTAAGTATGTCAAGATTGAATCAGAATTTTCTCAAATTTATTGTAGTTTGCAAATTCTTACTAATTGAAGATGTAAGGAAGTCGATACAAATGATTTTTAATCTTTTTTATCTTTTCAGCAATTTATATTTTTTGTGATTTTATGCAACCATATTTTTACTTTGTCTTGACAACTGAAAGATGTATAAGGTTTTTGCCAGAAATGTACTGTATACATAGTTTTAAATATAACAGATTTTACTGATATGTAAAAATTTTGCCATTAAAATAAATGATTTCTCATTGAGAGGAACTTTTCTATCAAGTGGGGGATATGGGAGCTTAATATATCATATCTAATTTAAAATAATTTCACTGAAATAAACTCCATTGCTTTTACTTTGATTATATTTTCTCTTGAGATGCTTTTGTAGTTTTTCAGAGTTTTAAATGATTTTATACAAAATGTCTGTCCCTCTCCTCCCCCTTTTTGACCTTATAGTGATACCGTTCATCTGAATTAGTGCGTGATGGACTGTGCTAGATGTAGAACTTCATTCATCCATGCCTCACTGGCACCTAAAGAATGAAAGAAAAATGTGCCCTTAAATCTTTTCCTCATAACTCCTTCCATCTCCCCATCCATATTAGAAATCTTATTTTGATTGTGAGTTCTGACAAGATGAATGAAATTCTATATACAACATTACTGTAATTGGTAGTAGATAGAAATCAATCTTTGTGGTACAATATTTCTGAGACGTGCACATGTATGTTTTGACTGGAGTATATTTAAGTATATACAACTTCAAATTTGATTTAGAAAATGGATAATAAAGGAAAACATTTTTCATCTGCTACAATGTGTTTAAATTTTTTGACCTCTGGGAAAATGAAAAAATAACCCAAACATTTGTTTATGGCTGGCCATCTGTAACTTTTTCCGCAATGTGCCTGTATAGGAAATAATGGTGTTTGGACAAACTCCAGTACTTCATGCTTGGGATTTGGTGCAACCACATTAGTTTTGATCTCATCTAAAAATCAACAGCCTGAACAAAATATTAACATACACAAAATAAAAGCCACAGCAGCTACCATTTATCCCTGGATGCTAACACTGGTTTGGTTATAATTCTGTTACCATTCAGTTAGTAGTAAGTCTTGGGCTGTTACGCAGGGCTTGTATAGATTGTTGACAGAACGCATGCGATGTTTCTTTTAGGAAACTTCAAATTACTCTGACTGTATAAAATTGTGCAAGACACTCTTGTTTAAAAAAATATTTATTGAGCTGTTATATTTATTGTAAACATAGACAGTTCTATTTGTTATGAATGCCAACTAACGTTAGCTATGGCAAGTTTAGAGGAATTCTGGCAACCTGGAAGGTGGCTATGTTGTCTGTAAACAGCAGGGGAAGTGTATTAAATATACTAATAAGTGTGTCAAGATCACAGTTCAAATTGAGTAGTGAGTGAAATGTGAAAGCTTAGCTGTTGAAGGTAGCCTTTGCCAGAGGATTAGATTTAGAAATGACTTAGAAGAGCTACCGCTTCATTGCACTTTACAAACTCTCCCCTCATGGTTCCTGTGAACTAAGCACTATAAATATGGCCATAAATCATAAATCCTGCTGGGTATCTTACTAGGACACACACACATTTTTACATTATTTTAAAAAGTATCGTCTAGATATATTTGAGTTAGAATTGTATTGCAGCTAATACATTAAATGGATAAGGTGGGAGATGCATTTTTTAAAGACAGATATGCAGAAAAGTACACATATTTGGCTTCATAAATTTTCATTGCTTTCCTGTTTACAGTCAAAATGGCCATGTATAACTCTACCAGATTAAGAAACATCTCTACTCGATTAAGAAAACATTTCTACCAGATTAAGAAACATTGCTACTGCTCTAGTGTCTTTTATAATTAGTATCAGAAGTGATGTTACTGTTTCTGCCCTGTCCTGTAGCTAACGGATTCTGTGAGAAGAAAGTGTGTGATCGTGTGACTGTCAGGAATAGGGATCTCAGGAGACTATCTCTGCTTTCATAGTCATTCACGGATCATTTTGAGAATGCTGGTTCACTTATGCAGCTTTTATAAATGTTGACGTGTTTAATCCAGTGATAAAAGTCACATGGCTTTTACCACTAATTTCATCAGAACAGGCAGGCTTTTGGCAAGAGTTGCCATCAATAAACTGGTGTCCTGGAAATCAGAGCTAACTTAAATCTAAGCCAAAATGGGAAAGTGAGATTTATAACATCTGTGTGTCACCGTGTCACTGGACACATAGATTTGGGCAGTTCTACCACTGCTGGCCAGCTGGTCTACACATGTGGGGCCATAAGTACCATTGAAAATTTTGAGACTACTGAGATGGGAAAGACTCCAAGTTTTCCTAGGTTTTGATAATGGGGAAGCTTGTGTGAGCATTTCCACTCTCTGGTGGAAATTTGAGATGAGAAAGTAAGTAACCATGGTTGAGTGTCCTTCCTGGTGGCGCAGCGGGTTAAAGCACAGCCCTGAGAATCTAAAGCCACTTCCGCATGAGTTTGATCCCCTCCTGCCCCAGAGAAGATCCACATGGGTCCACATGGCGGGGCAGACCTCTCCTGACCCACCCGCTGCTCCCCTCAGCAGTGTACTTCGTCGATCTGCCTGTTCTGCTCCCCACTCT